GTGGCATTTCCTTGCTGGATTGTGGCGTTGTATAACTCACTAACATGGAGTTGGTCTCTTGGCTATGTATCTTTAGGAGCTCTTGGTCTCTCTTCATGTTCTAGATCTGCTTTGTGATTGTGACTGTAGGTGACGGAACTAGTAGAAATGCTGCTGCTGCTGCTTCTACGATTGAGGGAGAAGGGTGTTTGAACTTGGTTTCACTAAACTGAGTTCCACTGGTGGCAGATGGGACTGAAAGCAGGGTTTGAATGCACAGCTAATAGCCTTTGGAGGAGCTTGTCAATCCCAGTGGCACGTTTTGACTGCTGCTTGCTCGTATTCTCTGTGGACTGTAGTTATTAATGATCTCTCGTTGTACCTTTTCTTTTCTTTTGTTAACACTTTTTTTTGTTTGTTTGTTTTTTTGGTTTTTTTGTTTTTTTTTTTTTCCTGAAAGAATGTAACACCGCTTTAAAACAGTAGGCATTTGGACTAGCAGAAGAGGGAGAGGGCTGGAGGGGGACAAGTAATTTAACAAAATAACTGGTTTTCTATTGCCATCTCATGTAATACGTTTATTCATAATCTGATTTTCTGGCGTCTGAATACGTTTTCTGGAATAGCAGTCTTTGTTTAATAGCTGGATATCTGATTAACACAATATAGGTAGGAATATGAGTACAGCGTGATACTCCAAAGAATGTGACACTGCTGAGTTACAGGGCAGGCCACGATCTTCGTTTGTGTATTTCATCCCACAACTTTGGTTTTGGTGGCAGAGGCTCAATTATTTTCTCAGCAGATAATAGATCTTGGATATGTGATAACCAAGCGAGTAAAAGATCCATGTTTTGAGGCTACCTTGAAGTACTCCGATCACAATCAGAATAGGAGGGTATTTGAAAACAGCTTGATCTTGATGGTGTTCTCTGCTCCAGCCCTTGGAATTCTGCCTCCTTTTGGCAGAAACAAGGCAACATGCTTGTTGGGAAGCACACAGAGACAGTCACAACAGGCATTTTGGCCCAAACAGAGGAAAGCTGCTGTCTGTCTCATCCTGCGTGATATAATCCTTGCTTTCAAAAGATGCTTTTGGAGCAGCAATGAGCAAAGTGTTTTCTTTCCTCCCTAGAATAAAATTTCCATGCTGTGTCTCCAGAAAGGAATATCATTTTAATAACAAATTTCTTCTCTCCATCCTCTATCACAGAAAGTTTTCTCTGAAAAGACTCAGAAGGATTATCAGCCAAGTTACACCCTAAAACTGCTCTCATTACTCACCATCGTTCCACCAGTTTGTAAGGTGCTCAGCTTGGAAGGCTCAAGACATCCATTTTCTTTGCAGAGACTTCTATAAAGAGCCCTTTAGAGAAGAGCTATTGCTCTAGAGAAGGAGCTGGGCAAAAAGTCAAAATCCGTCTTCAACCGAGCTCTCTGTCTCACTTCTGTTTTCCAGAGTTCAGTCAAAATTCCTGTGTAGACAAATGAATAATTTGGAATGGACTCTGACAGGCTGTGACTTCTTTCTCATCACTTGATTAAGCTGGGGCTTATTTGAGGATATTGACATGGGTATTTGTCTCCAGTTAACTTTCGCATGGACCATTAATGCAGCCTGTAGGTCAGTGGGTCAGCAGTGAAGAGAAGCTTTGAAGAACCCCAACTCACACTTGCCTCTTCCCATAACTAGAAGAGTAGAATCACACACCTTCCCCAGCTTCACTTAATTTTAGAGCTTTGTATTCTCATGGTGTCCCATGGATGCTCCTAGATTAACAGACTCCTGCATCCATTTTCCAGGTTTAAGAAATCAGAGATTTAAGGAGCTCTCTAAAAGCAAAGCTATTAGAAAGCTCAGGACTGTTACCGGGCCCTCACAGCAAATTGTACAGGTAGGGGATGACCTGGAATCTAGGTAGTGTTTAGGTTAGAAAGACAAAATTCATTATGTAGCCTCTTGCTTCTCCAGGACATCATGGTATAGGCTTCTCTACCTTTTCCTTACAGACATTTACAGCACTTTCTTTTAAATGCAGAGCAGAGCTAAATTGTTACATATTTCATCAGAAGCCAGTGGTGTTCAGAAGGGGGCTTGTGGTCTTAGCCGTAGTGCAACTGAAGCACAATCCTTTCCAGGAGATTAATAATAAATCCTCAAGTTTGCCCTATCTACAAGAATTGGAACCAATTCAGAGCAAAATATTGTGGTGGGGAAACTGAGCATGAGTGCATGATTGCTAGGGAGAATGGTCTTAAAAAGGGAAATTATTTGATGTTTTAATCTGTCTGATTCAATATGTAACCCTGTTACAGCTTTCCCGATTCCTTTCGTTCTTTCTGGGAGCACAGAGCTTTAGCTATTCTCCACTAAAGCAAAAACATTTGACTCGCTGTTGCTCACTATTGTATATAGCCTTGTTTGTGGGTTATTTTTGTTTGTTTGTTTTTCAATTCCAAAACGCCAGGTGCAGATAACCTGCCTTGGTCTGTTAGACAGTGCTCCACTTGCATAAAACAGCATTTTAAAGGCTATTATACAGAGACTGCAAGTCCCAGTTAGGGCTCTTGATCCTGGCAACTAGGTAAAGATTCTAGGTGAAAATGCACTTTCCTCTCTACGAGTTACTACTACTGCTGTTAGTATTAACAGTAGAATTTGCTGCTTCTACTGTTCAAGGTGGTGCCTGGCCTTCTGAAGTTTATATCAGCCAGAGGAAAGATTTCACCTTGCAGCTTCCAGCACTGCTAACAAAAATATTTTCATGGGAAATGGGGATAGCTGAGGATTGTACAGAAGTGCATGTGCCATGTTGGAGCACATAAATTGGGGAGCGTGGTTTTAAACATTAATATTTCCTTTCAGTCGCCTCTCAACAGTGTCTCAATTCAAATATCTGTTATTGCAAGTTTATTAAAGCAGTAGTCAGACTGATACTGACTGCAGTAGAACAATAATTCTTCCCTCTGTTGGTGGAACTGAGAACTGCATATAAAAATCTTAAGTTTTTCTTGCTGTGCAAGATTTAAACTCATTACAAAGACAGGAGCATGGAGTGTCTTTAGTGTTAATATAAAGCAGTATGCACAGGTCATGTCAGCTCATGATCGCTTTTTGAAAGGCAATTGCTTTGGAAATTAAACTTGAAATAATGATTTATCAAGAAAATAAGGTGATACTTTATTTACGTGGCTTAATAACTTTGCAGTAAAGGGCTTCATGGAAATACTTAGAGTGTTTTTTACCTTTCTTTTGCCCTATGCCTTTTGCTGTGTCTGTCAAACAAAATCCAGATGAGTTAGTGCGAGCAAATTCTCTTGAGTACTGAATGTTAAGATGAATTAATTATGCACGTGTGCAGTTGGAATAGAGAGGCTCCAGCATCAGGCTGTATGCTTTTTTTGCATGAAGAGTTGCACGATTTTCGTGACTAAAGAGGCTCGCATGAAGCCTGAATTGCCTTTTCAACTAAAAATAACTGTTGAAATAAGAAGACTGTTTGACTAGTTGAAACTTCCTAATAGATAAGAAAATGTGTTTTCTTTTAAATAGATGGAGTCTGCCCGCAAAGCGTGGGAGAATTCCCCCAACATGGGAGAGAAGAGTTCACCAGTGACCTCCGCAGCGTCTCCCATTGCTAGTGGCAACGGCAGCAGCAGTAGCAGCAGCAGCGCTGGGCCAAGCACTGGTACTTACAGCTCTTTCTCTAGTGCATCAATGCCTCCTATTCCTGTGGCCTCAGTTACACCAACTACTTCTCTGTCAGGTACTGGTTGTCAAAATTATGTTCCAGTGGTGTTGTTCTTTAACTAAGTTTTGCCATGAGATCAGATTCCTTTTGGAAGTATGTTTAATGCAAAGCTAATGCATTTGGTGCAATTATAACATGTCAGCTCTGGACAGTTGCTTCCCAAATAGTCTTGTTAACAAGGAGGTGCTTCCTGTTGTTTGCTTGACAGACAGCTGGGAGGGGATATCATAAAGACATCTCTCTGCCTGTGTTACTTGTGTAGGCTTGAGAGGTGGTAGCTTTCTCCTGTTCACTACCATGTTGGTTTCTCCTTGTTAGACTGAATAAAAGCAGACAGGTGGACTTTGAAGAAGCTGGTAGCTCTGATGGCTGCTTACTTCTAGCAGGTGGCTTCAAATTTCTGTCACTTCATCCAGTTAGCTGTGCTTTTATTTTCACTTGCACTCTAGCTTTGGGAGTCAGGGCTTCCAAGAGCTGTTGCCATGCAGAGTAAGTGTCCAGGTGCTCCTCACAAACAATGCTGCTTTCCGCCATGGATCTTATACAGCATCTTTTGTTTGCTGCCCTTGTTACATCTTCACAGCTGGAAATACTAGAATGTGTGAACAAATCCCAACTGAAGTGCTTGACAAAGGCCTTTCCTGGTATAGCCAGGTTGACCAGTAAGAGGCACAGCTGCCATGCAGTGTGGATTACTAACCAAAGTGTAACCAAAGTCAACTTCTGTATTTTTTTAATATTCTTGTGCTCAAGAAATGTTAGGGTTGCAGCAGTTCCTGTACTGAACTTGAGTTGTTCTGTCCGTCTTACATGTACATCTTGTAGCATGAGAACAGCTATAATAGGATTCAGCATCCTTTCCAGTGATAAATATTCTTGTGTAGCTGTCTGAAAACTTTGGCCACTAGACGATAAAGTTTTAGAATATATTCAGCTGCTTTATGATATGTGGCTTGCTGTTTTCCTTTTAGGAGCTGGAACATACACAACCTCCTCACTGAGTACGAAGACTACAAGCACCTCAGACCCACCCAATATCTGTAAAGTGAAACCACAGCAGTTGCAGACAAGCAGTCTGGCTTCTGCTGGTCACTTTTCCCAGTTGAGCTGCATGCCATCCCTCATTGCTCAGCAGCAGCAAAGTCCCCAAGTCTACGTGTCTCAGTCTGCAGCAGGTAATAGTATTTTAGGCTGAGACAACATGTCTCTGCCCTTTGCTTAATGATCTGAAGTTGGAGAATGGAATTCGGTTTAGGTTTTCTCTGCAGCAAGGGCAGAATGATGGCAAGAAATTTGTAAGCAGGTATTCAATTGGGTCTTATTCTAAATATGTGAAGTTCTGCCCTTATGTGTAAAGATTGTGCTATGCTGTCAGTTGTCCACTGAAACAAAAAAAAAAGTTATTTCTTCCTATACTATCTTTTGGATGCAGAACTAGAAATTCCTGTTTAAGACAAGTCTCAGCTTCAGTCTCAGCTTATTTCCTCAAAAGAGCTTCAATAGCTTATAATCACGGCATTTTTATTTAAAGAAAACCTTCCGTAAGTTTGTTTAAATTACATGGCAGTATAGCACGTTCTTCCATTTTCTTCACCCAAACCTCAGTTTAGGCCAGAATCTCTTTGTTCATCGCTGCAAACATCTTAAAAATTGAATAGGACTGAAAATGGATATGCAGGACTGAGAGATTATGGGCGTGAGTTTGAAGAGTCATCAGTGCTGAACAGGCACCTTGCTCTTCAGTCCTGAGTTTCATTTCTTGGTCTACATAGTAGTAGTCACACTGAGAAGTACCAGCAGTGGCTCTGTGTCTAACTGTTGGTGAAAACCTATCTGGCAGGGAGGTACTAATTGAATTGCTCTTTCTGTGGCGCTGCAGCTCAAATCCCGGCATTCTACATGGATACAAGTCATCTGTTCAACACCCAGCATGCACGCTTGGCACCACCTTCCTTGGCACAGCAGCAAGGCTTTCAACCAGGACTTTCGCAGGTATTTAGATGTGTCTTTTTTTCCTCACTACTGTATTGTCTTTAAAATGCTGTGGATGAGCTAGTGGGGAGAAGGATGGGGCTAAAGACTCTAAAAATGAAATTGTGCCCATCCTTATTTCATTCTGAAGAATGCATTTGTTTTTTGCTCCTGTGAACAGAAGCATTTGTCATGAAATTTAATAGAAAAAGCTTTCTCATAAATACACTTAATATAGTAGGATATAGGTGGCCATGTTACTGAAGGCTTTTTTACTTTTTTAGTAAAAATGCATGAAGTTTTATGCAATCTTGTGCAGTTGTTTTGTACACAAATCTAAATGATTAATGCCATTTTTGCTGTTTAATTGCAGAGGAAGTGTAAAAATACACAATTAACTTTATTAGCAGGAGCAATATCTCCATGTAGCCTTGGGGTTTCACCTTGTTTGTGGTGTTCCTGTTGACATCTACAACAAAACCTGATACACGTTTGGTGCATATAACTTTAACAAGTGTGAATAGCTGTGGATTTAGTTCATAGTCCTTGGATAGCTAATGTTTTCTTCTGTGTGCAGCCTGCTTCAGTCCAGCAGATCCCCATCCCCATCTATGCACCTCTACAAGGACAGCACCAAGCTCAGCTGAGTTTAGGAGCGGCACCAGCTGTTTCACAAGCCCAGGAGTTGTTCAACTCCTCCTTACAGCCCTACAGGTAAGCAGCATATGTGGACTTGTTTGTTTTTTGAGTGGCAGAATTTACAGAGCCTGCTTCCTTACAGACTCATGTTCTGTGTTCAGTAGCAACTTTCTGTCTTTCCTGAGATCAATCTCTCTCATCTGTTTGTGCCTTAAGAAAGGGGCTGGCTGAGATCTCTGCACACTGGCTGTCTGGCTCCAAGTGTCTTTGCAGATGTAGTTTCAGGCTCTTGCACATGCTGTAGGAAAACTTGCTGTAGCAATGTAGAGAGTTGAAGCCACACAAGATGGTCTTAGCAGGGAAGGTTTAATTGGCTGTGAGTTTCCTGAATGTCTTAACCCCTAAGTCAGTTCTCTGTCCTGAGCACTCTGCTAAGAAACTCTTGTATTGGATGAATACACTTTCTCAGGTGGAGTAGTGCGTTCTGCACATCCAGCTTTACAGTTCATCAGATCCATATGGTTTATGAAGCCATAATGTTTTCTGTCTGGTGGTACTGTTGATTACAGCTGATTGACTGTTTAAAAATGTTTGAATGGGTTAACTTTGTGCTTGGCTGACTTTCTTTTGGAGGATGTATTGCCCCTTGTTCCACAGTTTAGCCAACTGTTTGCAACAGAATGTCATTACAGATATACAGTTAGTCTGGCATGTGGTCCGGATTAAATGCTGCTGGCTGATGTGATAATGAGCAAAACCCAGTACTGTTTGGGTTGTGCTGTATTTAAAAGTATGAATATCTTTCCCACATCTTAAAAGATGCAGAGGGGAATAAACTTTGACATGTGGAAGTTAACTGGTCTAAATTAAAAAAATAAATAGATAAACCTGAAATACAGGATGAAATTTCTTTTTCTATATTAAAGACAATTTTCTGCATGCATTCTGGAATGCTTATGTTACAATTTAACTTGTAAATTGGCAATAATGTAAAGCACAAAATCTAATCTTTTGGAGAGGTAATTTAAGACGACAGAGTGGAGTTAGACCAAGTATTCTGTCAAAGGAGGAGCATGTGGCCTCTATGCAGAGCAGATGGACAAAACCCGAGCTTGTACGTGTCAACCAAGTATTTCATGCAAAATGTGTTTACATCAAAAACGTTCTGTTCTGTCCTCTCAGAGCTCTTCAGCAGAGATACTTTAAAACTGCCTTTGATTCTGTGATCAGAATGTGGCCTTTCAGCTGACTTAATGCAAATGTTTGGATAAGTATTTCCTGATGGACTAAAACAACCTCTGTATAAGTACCGTGCTGTACTGGTTTTGGTCCTTGCTTTTTAAACGAGCTGCAACTTCCCCATGCTCATGCTGATACGGCGGTTGAATATCTAGTTAAAACTGGAGTCTTTGTCTGTCAGTGGTCTGGATTTTTTTGAAGTCAAGACATTGATTTTAAAACTACAGATTTTAGCATTCAGTGATTTAACCTGCAAATATTTCAGGTCAGAATATGGAAATATTGGAAATTAAGAGAACAAAGCAGTTATTTTCCATGTTTAAGTGGGACTTAGACACATGTGATAGTTCCACACTATGCTTGCCTCATAGCATAAAAACTAACTGAAACTTTTCGTGTGTTACAATTCAGTTAGAACCACGTGGTGATTACTTAACGTGCACATTTAAATAGCTTTATGTACTTGATTATTTAAATAAAAAGCATAGTCATTATTCTCATGGCCTTTAGTAGCACCTGTTATTTTGCTGCATATAGAGTAAATGGAAAAAGTCTAGATTTTTAGATGAAAATCTGGCCAATATATGCAGGAGTTCTAGGTGTGTTTGAAGCGTATAACTGTCTTCATAATTCTTAGTGGCTCCTGGTTGGACCGTGTATGTGTTTTTATATGTATGTGTCAATGTCTTCAATCTCTTGCAGATCCCAGCAAGCTTTTATGCAGAGTGGTCTGTCTCAGCCATCGCCAGTAGTTCTCTCTGGTACAGCCTTGCACAACTTCCCAGCTGTGCAACACCAGGAGCTGGCTAAGGCCCAGTCAAGCCTAGCGTTTCAACAGACTTCTAATACACAACCTATTCCTATCTTATACGAGCATCAGCTTGGTCAAGCTTCAGGACTGGGAGGCTCTCAACTTATTGATACACATATTCTCCAGGTAGGAGATACTCTGAAATGCAAAATGACTGCAATCGTTTGATAATACAGATAATGCAATAATAAATCAAGTACTGTCTAGCTTAAGATAAGTCTGCCTCTAATATTACACGATAGTCAAGTTGGCAGGGAAGTTCAGACACTTAAGACAATGTTCTTGTTATTTCATGCAGATGCATTAGAATAATCTCTGGATTGAGGATTGTTCTCCCAGCTATTTTACAGGAAACCGTGCATTTATTGCTAGTTTGATTTCTGTTACCTTAAGTAATAAAGGAATGTTCTACCACTTGTAAATGAGAGCTGAAATCTTCAGGTTTTCAGATTTCTGTGCTACTTTTTTTTTTTTTTCTTTTTTAACACCATAGTAGTTGAAATAATGTGTCAGGCTGTCTTAGACCTGTTTTTCTTCTTCTCCATGTAATGGTGTCTTTCTCATTTCCTAGGCCAGAGCTACACTTACCCAGGCTTCAAATCTGTATTCTGGGCAAGTTCAGCAGCCTGGCCAGAGCAATTTCTATAACACTGCACAGTCTCCCAGTGCTCTCCAGCAGGTAAACTATGGCATGGTAAATTTCCTAAATTGTATTCTTCTTAAAAGCATGTTGTTGTTGTTTGTGTTTCTTAGTTTGGTGTAGGCAGTTGAGACAATCTTTAATTCTATCTTAAATACAAGAATTGAAAACTGACTGCAAGGAAAGCTACTGTGGCAGTGCTGAAGAACTTGAGTTACTGAAAAATTTAATGGTTTACAAGTTCATATCAGTTGCTGTCTGGCAAACTTTTCTTAAATAATCCACTTCCTAGTGATAGCTAAAGATTTAATCAACATAATAATGTTGCTAATTGGCTCAGGCATAGACTGCCTTTATGGGAGCATATAGCAGTGACAGTGGGGAGGGAGCCAGGCAAAATGCAGATGCTTAATGCAGCCTAATTGGTAAATACCAAGCCCCGTTGGGGTAAAATCTCAGAGCTGCCAAATGTGTCTGTGAGATCAAAAAGAACCCAGTTTGCTATGTGCAAGCCTTCTGGCATATTTGCAGCATGCTTTGTAGTGGCTTCTGTCTTCTGGTTCAAATTTCATGGGGGTTTTAGGGTTGGTTGCTTTTGATATATTTCTGTTTAAGTAGCTTGTTAAATGTTTAAAATGGGCTGTTTTATTGTAATAGACTACTTCATAGACATGGAAAGTGGTCAAGACAGGAATCTGGAAAAGAGTCTTAAAAATGAGTTTCATGTTGAAAATTGAGCATAAAAGTTCTCAGAGCCCTGTAGAAGGGCTAGTTTAATGCGTTCAAGCTTGACTGTCTCTGCTTTTATGCCTAAGAGCAGAGCCTTGGTTTAGTCTTTCATATCTGGAGAATATCACATCATCTAGTCACCCCCAGTATTATTTTGAAGGGTTTGCATTGATGGTCAGACTAGGAAATGTAGGAACTCTTGCAGATCAGGTCACTGCTGTGGTATTTTCACCTCTTTATCACTAGCATTCTGCAGTATTTTCAGCCCACAGCATTCCCTGTTAATGAAAACAAAGGACTGTCCTCAAGTTCCGTTTAAGCCAAGAAATGCCTGATGCTTGGCACTTCTGAAAAGGAAAATCTCCTGAGCAGTGCCATTATGATGACTGCAATTATTTGATGATTTTTTTAAAAAAAAAAAAGACCATCTTGCTCTACTTTTATTTCTAATTGAATTAAATTTCCTTCTTCCAACTTGGAGGTCATGTCAGCTGATGTTGGAGTTTAGTTCTTTTTCTGAAAAGCAAAGACCAGATATCAGAACTGAATATAAAGGCTTAGTGAAGAGCGAATTCAATTATCATTTACTTGCATCTCTGTGGGCAAATATATGAACTTATTTAGCTGTTTGCCCTAATTATAGCTGTTCCTGTAGAGCTAGGAGAGAAAGTTAAATAATCACCCTAGTGTATATGTTGCTGGTGATTCTGTACTTTTGTTTTCCAGGTGACTGTACCTTTACCAGGATCACAGCTTTCTTTGCCCAACTTTGGATCCACAGCGCAGCCACTAATTGCCCTCCCCCAGTCTTTGCAACCACCACTACAGCACACACCGCCACAAGCACAGGCTCAAAATCTGAGTAGACCTGCACAAGTAACCCAGCCTTTCAGAGGATTAATCCCAGCAGGAACTCAACACAGCATGATTGCTGCAACTGGGAAGGTAACAATATGCTTAAGTCGGTAGGACAGAAATTCATATGAAGTGTTGGTTCTACGTTGTCTCACAGCAGCAGCACAGCAAGCCGTGCTGCATCTGAAAACCTGCCTTGACCTTCAAAGGGAGGGAGAACAAGGTAAAAGCGCCAGACAATGAGTCTCTGAGTGACTAGGTTTGTACACTTGGCAAAGGTTTGGCTGAGTTTAGCTGATGAATAACTTGCTACCAGTCCCTTTGCATTCTAGGGCATATTTAGCTTCATAATGACTTGGTAGACCAGAATTAATAGGATATTTCACATAGGAAGCAGTGCAGAAACTCATAGAGGAGCCACTGGTAGAGCAGCAGGCAAACAGCACTGGACTATCAGCACAGTTTTTTGATTCTGGTTGTGCACAACATTGTTGTCACTGTGTTTCTTGTCTAATGCTGGAGAATGTCACCTCAAAAAGAAATGAAGAGGTGAGTCGTGATTGTGGGTTTTTGCCTTGAGGGTGATTTTGCTTCCCTATGTTTAAAGATTGTCGTGTTTCTGCTAAGGATAGTCAACTTAAAAGAGCCACTTTTAATGGATTATTTTTGCTACTTGTGCTTCACGACTTGTGCTATATGGAAAGTTATTGTCCCAGGAACCTAATTTATACTGTTTCATGTACTATTGTCAACTCTTAAGCTGAACTGTTGACTGCACTTGTAAGAGGACATAAAAGATTTAGAGCTTGGAGATTAATTCACAAATCCATCTTTGCTGTATGCTTTGTTTAATAAGAACTGTTTAATTGGGGATGTTGCCCTAAACCACTTTTTTTAGGGCCAGAATAATTAAGGGAGATTCACGTTCAAATCCAATGCTATAATTGGAATAAGTGCCCGAGTGCAGGAAATTTGTATGCAAGTGGGCGTGCTGCTGGGTTGTCCTGCTTTTCAGTTTAGCTTTCACCTCTGATTTAGAGCTTGGAGATTAATTCACAAATCCATCTTTGCTGTATGCTTTGTTTAATAAGAACTGTTTAATTGGGGATGTTGCCCTAAACCACTTTTTTTAGGGCCAAAAACTTGGAATGAATCATGATCTTCCAGAATAATTAAGGGAGATTCACGTTCAAATCCAATGCTATAATTGGAAGTAAGTGCCAGAGTGCAGGAAACTTGTATGCAAGTGGACGTGCTGCTGGGGTGTCCTGCTTTTCAGGACAGCCTGCTGCTTTTCAGTTTAGCTTTCACCTCCCCTTGCTTTAAGTGACCTTTATTCATTGAGAAGAATCTGAGGTAAGCTAAAAGTACAGGTTACCCAGTAAAATTAACTTTAAAAAAAACACATTAGAAAAAACACATCAACTACTATTTTTCAGATATCAGAAATGGATCTGAAGGCCTTTGGAAGTGGCATTGAAGTTAAACCTGGCACACCACCGGTTACTGGCAGAAGTACGACTCCAACTTCCAGTCCTTTCCGGTAAGAGTCTTTTAAGCTCAGAATTCCTTGAAGTCAGATCTCAAATGTTGTAAGGAATCAGCCTTGATCAGCCAATTATTCCAAAAGGTATGAGGTGAGGGGTGACTAATGTAAATACCTGCTGCTTAATCTTAACTCAAAAGCAGTGTGCCCGTAGATCATCGCTTCTGCTGCGCTTGGCCAAAAGCATAACAAAATGGGGGCATTTGAGTTAAATGAAATTGAACAATCCTCCTAACAACTACCTGGGATTGTACGAGTAGAACACAAGAGTGGTAGGAAATAGGTGCTATGGGGTGATGCTGTAGACTGGGTGATTTTTGTTTTGTTTTGTTTTTGTTTTTCATTTCATCTTAACTGTCATACTTAAATTGAAAGTACTCAAAATTTCAGAGAGCAGTAATTGTAGTAACAGCTCTGGAAAACTAATAGTCACTGTGTGGTCTACAAGCTTCTTAAAAATGAACTTAGTAAGTATGCAGGTTTACTTTGTTAATTGGTAAGAGTTTTGCTGTCCATCTTTCCATATCATAAAACACTTCTGTGTCTTTTATCTTTGTATTACTAATTGCTAGGGTTGTTTGCCTTTGCCACCAGTACATCCAGAAGAATAGCCAATGTCAGTTTCTCTCTAAAGAGATTTTTTTAGCTGAATGTTGAATTCCTAGTTAAGTTGTAGCTAAAGCCAGAAACATCCTTTGCATGAGGAGTGTGGTGATTCGAACTGGGATATATATATATATTTTTTTTTTCTTCAGGGCCAGTTCTACAAGCCCTAACAATCAATCCAATAAAATGAACAGCATTGTTTACCAGAAGCAGTTCCAGTCAGCAGCTGCCGCAGTGAGAATGACACAGCCGTTTCCTGCACAGTTTGCACCCCAGGTAAACTGGTGACTCCTACAAAAATCTTTTCTTTATACCCTGGTTACACTTATCGGTGTTTCTGCACATTTGACTACAGGGAGATACAAAACCGCAGTCTTCAAAGAAAAAGACCACTGATTTGAAGAATAAGGCAGAAAAAAAAAAAAAGTAAAAGCTTTTATGTAGCTAACTAGTAATACATGTTTTGCAGTCTTCTAATTTTGACAGTTGTGCACACCGGAGAGTAATTGAACACTAGTTGTGTCTGATGTAGAACAGAGAGTTCTGCTGGTTTCCCCACACAGCTGTAATAGACTTTGTTTCTGCATAAGTAAGTCTTTCAGAATCTTAGTATCTCAGAAGGGTCCCAGTGCAGGTTTTAAATGTTTAAAAATGAAGCAGATTGATAGTTATTTGCATGAAATGCACATCAGAAGTCTTCATAGAAGAGTCCTCTGAAGGTTGTACAGCCCAGCCTGCTGCTTCAGGGCTGCTCCTAGCACTCCAGGGTTGTAAGTGACTGCAGTCAGGCTGTTAGGGAAATGTAGATATAGCCCCTATATAAAAATGTGCAATTTCAGACCTGGAGAGACTGCACTAATTTTCTTTTTTTTCTTTTTTTTTTTTAATTATTATTATTATTTGATTGCAGCTAGCAGAAGCTAGCTAATCTAACCAACCTAACACTAGTGACAAAAATAAGACTCTTTTCTTGGCATCTTTTGATGGAGCAGGCTGTTTCCCCCCACATTTAAGATAATGCCAGTGCAGTCTGGTTGGCAGTTTCATTATTGTGAAGTGTCTCTCTGTTGTTTTTCCCCCCTCCCTTAGACCCTCTCTCAGCCTAACCTGATCCCTTCATTGGTAAAAGCCCCATGTACTAACCCCTCCCCACTGCCTGTTCAGAGGCTGCCAGTAGTGCTGCCCAGTCAGATGGTGCCTCAGGTGAGCACAGGCCTCATGAGCCCCCCTCCTGTACTGCGTGTGGCCAGGGGTCCTAGTGGATCAGTGTCTGGAGTCAGAGGTAATCAGGCCCAGGCCATGATGAAGGCTGAAGAGGGCATGAACGTGTGTGGACACCAGTTCAATCCCAGTGGCTTGTTAGGCCTAGCGAGGGTCTATGAATCTCGTCTCAAATGGTTGTGAAGCGGTTGCTGCTGCTGAAGTTGGTCTCAGCGACTAAATTTCAGGAGCCTGAGTCTTTGCACGAGAGATGGAGCATATGAACCTGAACATTAGTTATCACCCTTCAGGATGAAGCAGCGGCCACGGTCTGTGTGGGGACATGTCGTGCACTTTTGGTAGAGCAAGCTGCTTGTATGGATAAGGTCATGGAAGGAGCTCCTTCATTTACTGCCTTTAGCCATAGAACATGTGTTGTGAAGGAAAGCTAATGTGTGTTTTTCACAGTGATAAACATGTATGATTACAGCACAACTGGTTACCCCCTTAAATTCCAGATAATGTGCTCAGTTCAGTGTCCTACCCCTGGCCTATGCTACCTGTGGCCCTACCAGGTGGTGCCTGGTGTCATCCCGACTCTGTTATCAACTGAATTGGGCCAGGCACAGTAAACAGAGCTGGGCAGTCCTAGTTTTCTGATTCTCTCTGCAAACCATGTTCAGAGGGGTATAGGTTATTCTGGCATCCTTCTTGCAGCCCAGTAATCCGGCTGTTTATCTTAACCTCGGGGGTTGTCTGAAAGCCAGGCAGAGGATTTGGATGTCCCTGTCACTACAGTAAACACAGGCTATTTTTGCACATCCGAGTTTGGGGGAGGGTTGTGGTTTTGTTTGTTTTTTACTGTTGGTGGTTGAATTTGGAGCTATGGTGCAGCTTGGAGCTGCTAAGAGCTTTTGTGGCAAATTTCTGCCTTTTTTTTCCCCTTTTTTTGATAAAATGATTAAAATTATGGAAGATTGGGTACACAGAGGCTTGGCTTGTATGCATAACATGCTGCTTTTTAAAAAAAAAAAAAAAAAAAAAAGCATTTGCCAGTGTTGGGCCTGGTGGTGCTGATTTCAGAAGCTTGACCTCTTAGAGCAGTACTTGCCTTCAGCCTCAGTCGGGTCAGGAGAGGTGGGTACTCGCTCTGGAAGGCCTGGTCTGCACAGTGCTTTGCTGACAGAGGAAAAGTCCACATAGTATAAATCTGTTAGAGCAGGGGCTGTATGTCACAGGCGCACGTCCAGGTGCCGAGCAGGAGGCGGCGGCAGCAGCGCCGGTGCCAGCCGTGCCCGCGCAGCGCATCCTGGAATTCTGCACGGACAGCTTGCCCTCGCGCGTGCCTCAAAAAGATGTTTCACACAACTTGATCCCTCTTCTGAAGCGAGGAGTGTAAAGAGCCAGGGGACCCTGGGCAGGATGTAAAACAGACTTCTGAGCCAAGTGCCCAGACGTGGCGACAGCCGGGAAGCCGCGGGAGGCGCACAGCTTTTCCAGGGAAGCCTGGCCGCTGTGGTCAGCTTAGGAAGCCCCTTCGATTCCTGTGCCCTGTCTCCAGTAAATATATTTTCTCTTTCTTAAGGCAAAGCAGAGAGCAGAGGTACTTCAGTCCACACAGAGGTTCTTTTCTGAGCAGCAGCAGAGCAAACCGATGGGAGGCAAAGCGCAGAAGGTGGAGGAGAACGGCAGCAAAGCTGCCAAGGCCGTTGCCGACTCCGCCGGGAGCTGCCCGGACAAGGCGGAGGAGAAACCCCCCCCGCCCCCCGCCACAGCCACCAAGCCCGTCAGAACTGGACCAATCAAACCTCAGGCAATCAAAACGGAGGAGACAAAATCGTAGGGGCCGTGTTGCCGTGGAGGTGGGGGAAGAGGGGAGGGCGGGCGAGGTGACAGCAGCGGGAGCCCGAGGGGTGAGACGTTAGTGTTGCCTCTCCCTGCGGGGCTCTGGCCAGCGCACGGGGCGTAGAAGCCATCAGCGTTTACAATGTCAACTGCGTATCCAGCTGAGCTTCTAAGCTCCTTGGGCTTGTACTTTTCTAACAGCATGAGAGCTGCTTCTGGTAGTGTGTGCGTGCACGCGTGTGCGCATGTATCGCTTACACACCTGTGTGCTGCCCGCGTGGGAGCGGAGCAAGAGCAGAGCGGGGAGGAGGTGGCCTCTTCCTGGCTGGCAACGTGGATTCTCCTTGTTCGGGCCCTGTTCTTCAGCTGCTATTTATCTTTTTATAAACCCATGTGTATGAGAATATGCAGATCTGAAGGCAGTGCTGGGCTGGGTGATGTGTGTTAAGTTTTTTTTTTTTTTTTAGTGATTTAAGAAGCTGCTGTCTTGTAATGAACGGGGGAATTCAGGTAGTGGGCAGAACTGCCTCTGCCATGTGACATCTAACCCACTATAACACAGAGTAACCTTGATGTTGTTGAACTTCCCTCTGCAGGCAGTGCTTGCTGGCTGCTGCTTCTTGGATGATAATATACTGTATTTAGATCACAATATGGAAATGCTGTTTGGCCACCTGTGTTTTTTTACATCCACTCCCCCCGCCTCCGTTGTTCACCTCTGGAGTTGAAAGGTTAAGCGCATCGATAGTCAAACTTGTCCTGTTCACCTCTGTCCAGCTACCTTTATATGAAGCGAGTGATCTTGAAACGGTTTCCAGCTTATGTCTGTATAGAGCAACGAGCACTTAAAACTGTGCCACTAGAATAAAAGAAACCTTGTCAGATTAAAGCGATTTTTATCTAAAAGGTGCATTCTTTATATCAAGCTGCGTCGCACCGCCTCCTGGCCCACAGTGTGCTGGAAAGTAGAATCAAGTCAAATAATGCCTTTTTAATTGTATCCTCTAGTATTATAGCTGTAGGACAGTACTGTATGATATTTCTGTGAATGTAAGATATCCTGTACCTGCTTATGATATGTAGTAGTGACTGTGCTATACTGGAGCTGTTTTTAATAATGTTATTCTAGAGGTTTTTTTCCAGACAATGATTGAAAAGCTAATAAAAAGCACCAGGTACCACATCAGTAGCAGAATTTGCTGTTTTTTCTGGGATTTTGTCTTTTTTTTTTTTTTTTTTTTTTTTTTTTTTTTTTTTTACATTTTTGGAAAGAAGAGTTGAGTTGGAAGTCTAATGTGTATAATTTTGTTCAAATGACTGCAGAAGCTGGAAAGGCTGTTGCTGCTATTGATGCCTAGTGAATCGCTATTGGTTATCTTTTTATATAAATATATATATAATTTGAATTTTTGGAAACTTTAGCTGTGATGTCAACTTTGGAAAAAAGTATCCCACTTGTAGTGTGAGTTGGCATTGTACAGAAATTAACAGCCATATTGGTCTAGAAATGTTAAACTTAATTTTTTTTTCCATTTGTACAGGGGTAACGCACTGTATTAAATATGTAAGGTCTTATTTACATGGGTTTGATTACAGAAACTAATAAAGTATTCTCTAAATAAAGTACCCGGGTAATCTCATGATTAGCTAAATGCCCCAGGACGCAAGCAGATCATCTGAATAGCATGTACCAAGGGAAACATGCGTGTTCCAAGCCAGGAAGGCAAATCCGTGGAGCGAGACGGCGCGTGTGGAGCGGCTGCTTTTTGTCTCTTTCCTCACCCTTCCTGCACTTGCTCCTTCTCCAGTGAAGGTCCCGCAGGACGCAGCTTCCACCTGGCTCTGCTGTTGCTTCTGCGGCGCGTGGGCAGCCTGGCTGCGCGTTAGCTGGGTGTCCTGGGGACGATCAGCTCGGCACGGGAGACGCGGAGGAGCCAGGCCCGCGCACGGACAACCCCGGACAGGAGCCGCCGGCTGCCTCGCTGCTCAAGACCCTTCAGTTGCTGCTTTTCCTGTTCATGGGCACGGGGCCAAAATTAAACCAACGGCCACGTAACAAACTTGTGACAGTTTAATTCAAATCGCACAAATACTGGCGTGGTCTGGACCGCCCTCAACCCCTGGGCGTAATGAAGGGTTAAATATCATAAATGGTCCTGCAGTCTCGCTTGCACAGGTGAAGCCTGGAGGACTGGAAGGCGGTTTGTGCTGCGGTTCGCTGGCCACCAGAGGGTACTCCTGATCTGCAGCAAGGACCAGAAAGCCTTTTTCTCTTCTCTTTGGTCTCCAAATACTGAGAAACAATCCCGCCCTGAGAGGAGTTGGGTGGCATGTTCCCAGAGAATGCAAACCCACCGCGGAGAGAGGCTCAAGCCGGGATATCTCTGCAAGTGCCGGTGCCGGCAGCGCGCGCCAGTCTCACCTCAGCTGCCTGGGGCAGGTGGCGGCAGCAAAGCCCTTGGGCTGGAGCAGCACCGCTGCCATGGGCACCCTGGAGCAGCTGGAGTTGTCCTGCTGCTGTTGGCCTCTGCGTGGGTTTCTAGCAGGATTGTAACTGTGTGAACCTGACGGAAGCTGCCTAAGCTGACAGCCGGGCTGTGGTGGGGCAGAAGCTACCCCTGAGGGGGAAACGGGGCAGCTAAAGTGAAGCCTTTTCTACAGCAACCCTGAAGCGGCGCTGAACACCCGGAGAGGAGGAGGAAGGTGTGGGACGGAGTCAAAGTCCGTTGATCTATAATGTCCTGGGAACGATGCTTTGAGTGCTAAATAAACTGTGTATTAAGAACAGGGCACTATTAGGGGGTACTCAAGCAAGAGTGTTCCTGTGACTTGAGCTTTCTGGTTACGTGGCTTTGTGCTGATGCTTCCCTATTTGCCAGCTCTCTTCTGCCTGGTTTGTTTTGGAAAGACCACTAATCATCACAAAGTCCTTCCCTGGATTCTTCTGTAATTAATGTTGCCGAGAGGATTAATTTTAAGATCTGTTATAAAGCTACTAGGAGAGTCAGCAGTTGGGACCGTGCTAAACTTTTGGCTTCTCCTTGCGCTGAGCAAAACAAGGATGTTTCTGCACAAGTTTAATCAAAAACAAATGTTTGGGGATGTAGTATGGTTGAATACAGCCTTTTTGATGGATGCCCTTCAAGTAACCTTGGACCAGCTCTGGGGCTTTTGAGGCCGAGTTAAGCATTTGGTCACAGCTGACCCCAGTTCGTTCAGGGGTTTTTTCTAACATTTAACCAGATAACTTGGTCTTACCCATTTACAAGGAGGCTGCATCTTGGTTTTTTTTGTTTGTTTTTTTCTTTGAGGGCTATTTGGGGACTGTCTACTCATTGCAGATAATTGAGAGCAGCCCATAACTTAGCAAAGGGCTTTAGGGAATTCCCTATTTTTGTTGTCAAGTTGAGCCTGTGAAACAATGTCGAGCGGGATGAATGTGCCTGGGGCTGTGACCAGGAGGCTGCTCCACGCCTGGCGCAGGGGGAGTGCTGGGGCGCTCTGTGGGGCTGCTGTTGAAAAGCCCGTTAAGTAAATCCGTGTATTGAGGGGTCACCTCCTGCCCGGCTTGCTGGAAATCCTGGGTACGTTGGCCGCTCTTCATTTATTTTCCTTGGTCAGTTAAAGGGTGGGTGTCCCAGCCTGCCAAGCCCCAAGGCCTGGTGAGGAGCGGGGGGACAGGAATGGTGTGGCCGGGTCTGTGTGGCCTTCAGCGTCTCGGCCTCGCGCCCTCTGAGCCGCCGCTCCGGAGCTGCAGCCCCTCGAGCCCTCCCTGCCCCAGCACCGCTGGGGACAGGGCTGGCCCTGCACCTCGCTGGGAGCAGAGGAGGCGCCCCTGCCCTGAGGCGGCGTTTGGCCTCGCGGCAGCCCCGCGTTACCTCAGGAACTCGGTTCCCAGCTCTCCGGGCTCGCCTGGCGCTGGAGCCAGCCGCGCTTGGAGACGCTTTCCCTGCCTGCTGTGGGCCGCAGGCCCCAGCGACAGGTCACAGGATGCGGGGCTGGGCAGCAACCCCAGGTGCAGTATTCTGGAGCAGGACCGAGGCCCTGTCGACTTGCCCTGGGCCTGAGGCCTTGCCCAGGGCCAGGGAAAGGGTCACGATGGCATTTCGAAAGGCTGGGAGAGCCTTGGGCCAGGCCACAGCTTTATTCCCAGCTCCCCACGCGGGCAGGCTCAGCACAGGCCCGCGTCCGCGCGGGCGTACAGGGCCCAGCAGGCAGGGATGGGGGGCACGGGGCTGCGGTCGATGGCGGGGCCGGCGCCGGGCAGCGCCCCATAGACGCGCAA